CCCCCCCCCAAAAAAAAAAGAAAAAAGAAAAGAAATTGCCTACAAATCACTGAGTGCTGGTGACTTACATCTGTAATACTAGCTACTCAGGAGGTTGAGATATGAAATCATGGTTTGGAAGCCAGCCCAGACAGATAAATTCAAGAGACTCTTAATTGCAATTAACTAGTGAAACACCCTAAGTGGAGCTGTGGGTCAAGTGGTAGTGCCAACCTTGAGTGAAAAAGCTAAAGGGAAAGCATGAGGCCCTGAGTTCAAGTCCCAGTATTGGCACATACATGCCAAAAAAAAGGGTAAAATTATTTTTACATATACAATGCATAAAATTACTGTCAAGAAATGGAAACATCTGTTTTCCAAAGTGTTTACATTTTTTAAAACCTATTAGCAGTAAATGTTCCAATTTCTCCATAACTTTGCCAACACTTGATGTCAGTCTTTTTCATTTTAGCCATTATAGTGTTTATTGATATTTTCTTGTGATTTCTTGATTCACAGATGACAAATGATGTTGAGCATTATTTTACATTCTTTTAAAAATATGGGGTATATATTGGAAGTTGTCTTTTTTTTTTTTCCAATGGTATGAATTTGGGGCCTTGAGCTTGTTAAGCAAAGGACTATACCACTTGAGCCACATAGCTAGTCATTTCATGTTCTTATTACCGAGTGTTAATCTTCTGGGGTGGAGTGTCTGTTAAAAACATTTACATGGGGCTGGGAATGTGGTTTAGTGGTAGAGTGCTTACCCAGTATGTATAAAACCCTTGATTCCTCAGGACCACATAAGCAGAAAAAGCCGGAAGTGGAGTTGTGGCTCAAGTTGTAAAGCACTAGCCTTGAGCAAAAACAGCTCAGGGACAGAGCGCAGACACCCAGTTCAAGCCCCAGAACTGGCAAAAACAAAAAACAAGCTTTACCTGCTGGACACTGGTGGCTCATGCCTATAATCCTAGCTACTCAGGAGGCTGAGATTTGAGGATTGTGATTCAAAACTAGCCCAAGCAGGAAAGTGGTGAGGCCGGATGTGGCAGGGGGCAGAACCTGTTTTTTAGTGGGTTGTGGGGCCTGGACTCAGGGCCTGTATGCTGTCCCTGAGCTGTTTTGCTCAAGGCTAGCACTCTACCACTTGAGCCACAGTTCCACTTACAGTTTTTTTGGTAGCTATTGGAGGTAAGAGTCTTACAGACTTTGCTTCCCCAGGCTGGCTTAGAACTGTGATCCTCAGATCTCATCCTCCTAAAAAGCTAGGATCACAGGTGAGAGCCACCATCGCCCTGCTTACATGTTTTTGTTTTGTTTTTGTCTGTTGTGGGGCTTGACCTCTGGGCCTGCACACGAGCTCAAGGCAAGTGCTCTACCATATGAGCCACATTGCCACTTCTGGATTTTTTTTTTGGTAGTTTATTGGACATAAGAGTCTCAAATATTTTTTTTTTTGAGTCCGGTTGTGGGGCCTGAACTCTGGGCCTGGGCGCTGTCCCTCAGCTCTTCAGCTTAAGGCTAGCACTCTACCACTTGAGCCACAGCACCACTCCCTGCTTTTTTCTGCTTATGTGGTGCTGAGGAATCAAACCTAGGGCCTCATGCATGCAAGGCAAGCATTCTACCACTGAGCCACCTTCCCAGCCCCTCTCAAAGACTTTTCTGCCTGGACTGGCTTTGAACTGCAATCCTCAGATCTCAGCCTCCTGAATAGCTAGGATTACAGGTGTGAGCCACCAGCACCTGGCAAAACTCTGATTTCAGCCTCAGTGGTCTCCTTGCTGTCTTTTTTTTTTTTTTAACCAGTCCTGGGGCTTGAACTCAGGGCTGAGCTTCTTTTTGCTCAAAGCTAGGGTTCTACCACTTAAGGTCCCAGTGCCACTTTTTTTAAAAAATATATTTGTTGTTATTGAGCTTGAAGTATTCTTTGTATGTTGTGAACACTGACAGCCCTTTGTTAAATCTATAACGTACAGATTCAGGATGAAGAAACTTTTGTCTGGAGAAAATTAATATGACATAGATTCAAATCCAGACAGAGAAACTTCAGTGCCTACAGTTTTAATGCTATTCCAACATTGTCCTTCATTGCACCTCAATGCACAAAAGGTCACAAGGAAACTATTCTCATGTTATTAATAGATAAACTTGAAAGGTGGGCAGGGTCGATTTTCTTTTTTTTTTTAATTTTTTTGGGTACGGTCTGGGGCCTGAACTCTGGGCCTGGGCGCTGTCCCTCAGCTCTTCAGATCAAGGCTAGCGCTCTACCACTTGTGAGCCACAGTGCCACTTCCAGCTTTTTTTTTTTTTTTCCTGCTTATGTGGTGCTGAGGAATCAAACTCAGGGCCTCATGCATGCAAGGCAAGCGCTCTACCACTGAGCCACCTTCCCAGCCAGGGTCGATTTTCTTAAGCTTTTAACGTGTTCAGTAGGTAGGAAGACCACAGCAGCTAGTTACTGAGTTATGGATCTGGAATCAAACCCCATTGCAAGCCAGCTTCTCTTAAGTACTCTCAATGGTTTGTGTGTGTGAAAATACTGTACAGAGGGTTACAATTACATGGACAAGGTAATGAGTACATTTATTATCAAGCATTGTTGCCTCCTCCTTTGTTTCCCCTTCCCATCCCTTCCGATCGCCCCCTTACTCCCCCCCCCAAGTTGTAAAGTTCGTTTTTCGACATATCTCATTGTTGCAATAGGTCCACCTGTATCCCCATTTAAACAATGTTTTTTCCCTTCCCCTCCACAAATTATACCAACATCAAATACAGTGAGAACAGGGGTTATACTATGGGGGAGGGACATACAAAGCAACAAAGAAATCATCTTATAAATATGTTAGAAAAAATTGCAAGAAATAAAAAAAACATTTGAAAACTTATCTTGGGGTTCATTCCCCTAACATCAACTTATCTGACCGTCTCTGCTTGTCTCAGACATATACTAGTAATTGCAAATAAGGGAAACCATGGGACCTATGTTTCTTTGGGCCTGGCTTACTTCATTTAATGTTTTCCTCTCAATGGTTTTTGCAAAATGTGAATCCGGTTGGACGCCCAGTGGCTCACACCTGTAATCCTAGCTACTCAGGGGGCTGAGATCTGGGTATCGTGGTTTGAAACCAGCTGGGGCAGGAAAGTGTGTGAGACTCCAATGTCCAATAAACTACCCAAAAAAAATCCGGAAGTGGCGTTGTGGCTCACAAGGTAGAGCACTTGCCTTGAGCTGAAGGGCAGTGCGCAGGCCCAGAGGTCTTATCTCCCATAAACTACTCAGAAAAGACCGGAAGTGGTGCAGTGGCTCAAGAGATAGCGCTAGCCTTGAGCAGAGAGCTGAGGGGCAGCGCCCAGACACCCTCAGTTCAAGCCCCAGGACCGAAAAAAAAAAAAAGTGATCCCGGTCAGGAGTGATGACTCCGACTGCAGACACACTTCCTCGTTCCACCCACCCTGCCCAGATACTCCTCAGATACACGCACAACGCAGCAGGTCTCGGGTCTCCCCGCTCCCCGGCCGGAAGCGCTCGGCCAAATGCCGGGCCCCACCGTCTCCCGTGAGCCACACGCTAGGTGCCACTCTTCCCCACTTCCGGGTACTCCTAGCTACTTCACCCCGGTCGCCGGAGACACAGCCTGGGGCTGTCCCAGCCCCCGCCCCGGGAGCCCCAAGGTTTCAGGAGAAAGGAAAGATACGGATTCTGCAGAGAACGAGAAGAGCGACCCGCTGCGGACAGCTAGACGCCGCTCGCACCACGCCGCCCCATAGGGCGCAGAAATGACGTCACCTCCGCGCCAGCCGCCGTGGCGAGCGGGTCTTCCGGCCGCGAGGCCGCGGCGGGTGGGGCGGGGC